CCCTCTCTCTGACCCTCCCCTGTTCATGCTCTGTCTCTGTCTCAAAATTAATAAAACGTTAAAAAAAAAAAATTTAAAAAAAAAAAGACAGTAGGGAGTTCCTGGAGAAACATTTTACTCTGCCTGCCTCAAGTATTTGTCAATGGGTTGCAGGCTATAAGGAAATTTAGTTCTACCTGCCATTTCCTTCTGCCTTTGTTTTCCACATCAATTTACACATGCTTCTATTATTTTATCAAAATTTGTTTCGGTAGGAGTAAGAGGCTCTAACCTGAATTACTTTCCTGAGTAATCAGCTTTTCCAGTGTGATAGGATGAATTGTTTCAAGATCTGCTTTTTATTTCACATTATGTTCTTCTGTACATTGAGTTTTAGAGCTTACTATTTGTTCCCATATTGTCATATTTTTAGTTTTATAATATTTTTAAATAGCTGATATCATAACCCTGTCCTTTAAAAAAATAGTCTTATTTTTCTAGAGGAAAGTTAGATTATCTTTGATATCAAATAAAAATCTCATTAAGGGCTAATATAAATCTATGCAATAATTAGGGAATCGGATACCCTTATAAAGTCCATTTTCAGGTTGCGGTTATCAACTACTTCCAGTGGATCTCTAGGATCACATCCCAGCATTGGAAGAGTTGGGGACTAAATAAGCAGAGTTTTTCCAATTTCCTGCCATAGGTACCAAGGTGGGTGGAGACAGCAAGAGTGTGAATCTGAGTTTCTCTTGGGTCATCCCGGTGCTGTTGGTATAACCAGCAGTCCTCCCAGAGTATTTACCCCCAATCTAGATGGGTTTGGAGTTCTAGGAATCTCCTGTGAAGGAACGAGGACTTGGATTCTGGAGATAAACTCACCTGAGATTTGTAGCCCCAAGGATAAGGCTATCCCATTCCAGATACATGGATATCCCTATTCCATGCAGATGACATCGCTACTGCTGTCGCATATTACTGCACAGAGACAAGGGCGTTCTTCGAGTATGGCCATTACTCAGCCTCGGGCCACATCTCCTGCTGTTTCTTTCTAGTCAAAGATAATTTTTTTTGTATACAATTTTCTTGATCATAGGTTTTAGTCTTTCTTTTTAGAAGCACTCACGAATGAAACGAATACATAATATATCTCTCAAATGCCATTTTATATTTAAACGTTTTTCCTTTGTTGTTCCCTGATTATCAGAAGAATACAGGCTCATTTGTAGAGCACTCAGAACATATTCATTAAATTAATGACACAGTTACACCTGTGCAACATCCAATAACTCTTCCACCTCTGGATTTCCAATTTCATGCTTGTATCCTAATTCTTCCCAGTTTTGTTCATTATAGTGTCTAGTAAAAAGAAGCTTACTGAATTTCTACTTCTTAGGATATTGAAGCAACCACATTTTGAAGATATGATGTGGGAATATTTTAATACTCCACGCTTAGGTAAAACTTTAATTTCTAATAATCTAGAATCCTTATAAATAATAAAATTTAGGGGGGAAAGTGAATGATGCTTTGGAAAAGGTGGGACGCAAAAGAATAAACCTTTTTCTGGGACGAGGTGACTGATGCGAGGTGACTTGTGACTCACGCGCTTGCACACACACACACACACACACCCGCACACACATATAAACGCAGATACACCGCATATACAACCCCACCCCCACATACATAAGGTTTTAAAGGCAGATGTAGGATTTGTTTGCAGAAACGCAGGTGCGCTAAGTTTATGGGAAATTTAGCCCATTGAAGGGCAGTTATTCATTAGCCTTATTAGCTCAGTCCCCACAGTAGGAGCAGTAAGGGCACCTTGAATTATTAAAAAGTAACCAGATCAGTGTGTCTTTGCTCCTAAACATCCAGGTAGTATTCATTATTCTACTGGTCTATTTTATACCCTCAAGCTGCTAAGTTGTTCTTTTATCCCCCAGACTCCTCTATGCCTGAACATTGCGTGGAAAAGAAAACTCTTGATCTTTAACAGTTACGAAGTGCCTGCCTTCTGGCGTCTGAAGAAAACAAAAACAGGAAATACAAACTGCAGGCTGGTTCAGTAAAATTGGATAACCAAAAACAGTTTCCATGAAGCCAAGGCTCTGCCTCTTTGAAAACTGTTTCTGTCATACCATGAAACCAACAGAGCAGGCCTGTTTCTCAACCAAGACTTCCAGGAATTCCATGTCTCTAGACATTTTGGAATAAGCAGAACATGAAGCCAGGGAAGGTGCTCAGTATTTGGTGAGAGGATGAATGGCTGTCAGCACAGCTTGGCCCACACTGATGACTGTTTGTGTGGTCGCATCTCAGTCTGTGGTCGTGTGGGGCTGAGGATAAGCTCTCGCCCTCCCTCGTCTCTTCCCTTGTATGGGCAGCGGCTCCCCTGACTGACCGGAGGCTGAGGGCGTGTGAGCGCCATACTCATGTGAGTGTGGGAGAAGCGTGCAATGCGAATGCGTTTGCTGTTTACTTCTGTGTGAGAGTTAGTTTACGTGCGATCAGTCAGTTGCACATCAAGGGTGTACTTGGACGCCACGTGAGTTATGTTCAATCTGCTTTAGTTGTTCTGAGTTGTTTTAATTTACCTCGGTTTCATTATACAGATGTGCTGAAATTCACATCTGGACGAATCTCATCTAGCTTTTGGTAAAAGTAGCTTTCTACTCCTATGCTTGTTGTTGCAAAAACACAACGTAACTTTTACATTTCTATTATTCTTTGGATGTAGAGTCTGCCTTTTCTGCCTTCGAGATCTCTTTTTCTTTGTGTGTGTTTTTCTGCATGCACGCCATTAATGTCTTATTCTCCGTGTCTCCCACTGTCTGTGGTGAAGTTCTATTTATGTGGAAGTGTGTGCCTGTGTGTATACGGTATATGGATGTGTCTCCCACAAGGTCTTTGTGTCTGTCAGTGCCTAGCCTGTGACAGACAGTATGCCAAGTGCTGAATTTACAAAAGCAAATAAGATACAGTTCTCTTACTGTCTCTGCCCCTCCCCCACTCACACTGTCTCTCAAAAATGAATAAATGTTAAAAAATTAAAAAAAAAATCATATTAGTCTTACTGCCAAATGAGGAAATTGAGGCCCAAAGGATTTAAACCCACCCTAAATCATTCGGTCATAGCAAGTGCAGTTCTCTCTCAGATCCTTATTTTAAGCATTCGGCAATATTTATGCAGAAGACATTTATGCATCTGTTGTGAAGTTAAAATACAGGCAAATTGAAATTAGATGATAAAGGTCAATACCCAAAGAATCCAGTAGTTGCAGACCCAAAACAAGCACTGAAATTACTTTCAATTCCAATTTAAATCTCTGGCTTTAAATGTTTAGTGTTTCTTTTTCTGGATTTTTAGGTGATTAAAATGTTACTCTCACAAATTGTCTTCAGACCACATCCCTGAAATGTAAATGTCGCAAAAGGGAGGAGGTTTTATTTGTCCTGTTCTCTGAAGTATCCCCAGTGCTTGGAATAGTGGCTGGCACGTTAGTAAACGCTCAATATTTGTTAAATGGATAAACTGTATCTTGACTCAAATTTGCAATTAACCACTTAAAGAGAAAAATTCATCTTGAAGACTCAAAAGAAAGTTACTTGTGTTGTGTTTTCCTTGTGGAACTTCTATGGGATTTTGCATCCTTGGTTCTCTTTCCTGGGATTGTTCAGAACCATAGTTTTTTTTTTTTTTTTTTTTAATTTTTTCTTTTCAACATTTATTTATTTTTGGGACAGAGAGAGACAGAGCATGAACGGGGGAGGGGCAGAGAGAGAGGGAGACACAGAATCGGAAACAGGCTCCAGGCTCCGAGCCATCAGCCCAGAGCCTGACGCGGGGCTCGAACTCACGGACCGTGAGATGGTGACCTGGCTGAAGTCGGACGCTTAACCGACTGCGCCACCCAGGCGCCCCCAGAACCATAGTTTTAAGATGACCACAGGCCAGGGAAACCTCTGCATATTTCTTTACTTTTCATTGACTCAGAGGTCACGTTAGCAGATCGCACACTTTTATGTGAGCACTCCAGACCTTCTAGATCCTCCCCCTGATGACTGGAGCCTATGAATATGTCATAATTTAAGCATATTTATAAATGGTTTGCTTTTAGCACATTTGAAAATATGTGCAAGCAAATAATTTGGTTTTTTTACAAATCTACACCTTTATGTATTTACTTTTCAGTTAGTTCAAATCCTTGAGGGGTACAGCATCACACGGATTCTGTGGCCAATGGCTTTAGCAGGAAGGTTGCCTCGGAATTTGGCACGAACCATGCCACCGTTTCCATGAGCATGAGTTACTTTTCCCCGGATTCCTCTGGTTTTATTTGGTTTGCCACCAGGAGTCACCGTGTTGTTCTTTGCTTTGTACACATGAGCACATCTCTTGCCTAGACAGAATTCAGTTTCATCTCGAGCATAAACACCTTCAATTTTAAGAAGAGCTGTGTGCTCCCTCTGGGTCCGGAGACTCCGCTTATAGCCAGCAAAAATGGCTTTGGACCACAGCCTTCCAGACATATTTGTCGTTTCAGGAGTCCTGTTCCCAGCAGGCCTCCACGGGTTCCAAGATGGCGGAAAGAGCAAGCAAGTAATTATTTTTAACTGAACTTTCCATACATATAATAAGGCATTTTTGATATTTAATATCCAAAGTGTGTTTTGAAATTTGACAATGATGGGGCACTTGGGTGGCTCAGTCGCTTGAGTGTCCAACTTCGGCCCAGGTTATGATCTTGTGGTTCATGAGTTCGAGCCCCATGTCAGGCTCTGTGCTGACAGCTCAGAGCCTGGAGACTGCTTCAGATTCTGTGTCTCCCTCCCTCTTTCTGCCCCTCCCCGTCTCGTACTCTGTCTCTCTCTCAAAAATAAAAGCATTAAAAATTTTTTTTAATTAAAAACAATTAAAAAAATAAATTTGACAATGCTGATAAACAGAAATGAAGATGAATTTACTTACAAGGATCTTCTCTTCCATGCCAAGATTTTGAGAGTTAAAATAAAAGTGAAGCTCCTTTTTTAAAGAATTAAGTGGGCTGCAAAGTGGAGGCTTGAAAAAGGTCCAGGAAAAAGATGCACCTGGAAAATAATAATTTGGATGATAACATGTGGGGAGAAAATTCTAAAATTTTTATCTTTAACAATCCTTTCAGTTTCTTCTGTTTGTGTCTGAGGGCAATTATTGGCCTACCCATTCGTGTAAAAAATTCATGAGAAAGGTTAACGAAATTTTAGAATTGAACACAATGAAAATGCATTGGAAGAGTAACAATTGAAAGAAATTGCCAGCTCTTTTGCTTCTTTTTGAAATGGAAATCCCTACAATGGATTTTTGTGTTTTGTAAATTGGCATTTTCATGTATAAGATTTCCTTAAACCAAGGCTTTCAGCGGGGACAATTTTACTTTAGAACTGCAGGCACAATTTTGCTTTTCTCTCTCTTTTTATGTCTATTAAAATGCTCCTATTTCCTTTTTACCATTTAACAGATTAGTTTGCAACGGTCGGATCTCCAGATTCAAGAGAACTGGGAATCCATGTTATTTTGAGAAAGGCACAGTAATAAACACTGACGGTGGCAAAGCCTTAAGAGGGGCTTTTGAGTGCTGAGCACACTAATAAGATTATATGGCCAGCTTGTGTGCAGTGCCTTATGGGAGAGCAAGCCAATTTCCAGCTCATGTCTTCTTATACATCCAGGGGAAAGTTTTATGAAAACTCTACAGGGAAAGGATTTTTCTTGGTTTGGTATGATTTCCCCAAGCTTGGCAGTAACCATAAGCTGCTATCTGCAAACAAAAGGAAGTAAAATTTCAAACGTATATTTATAGCAATATTTCTTCCTATATATAAGGAAGAACTAGAGTCTAATGGATCAATTAAATCACTCTCGTCCAGTAGATATGTTATGATAAGCTAGTGGATTTTAGAAATTTACACAGTCAGTCTCTTAGCCAATGACTTGATCCAGTTTCCACCCACTTACTTGTGGGCACTCCCCAATTGGTGGCCTCCTTGCCCTCTCAGTACACCATCATCTTTGGCCACCACTCATTTGCTAAGTCAACATGATACACCCCAAGTGATCATTATACTCCCAAAAAGCAAATGGCTCATTTTTATGAACCTAAATTATTAGGTATAAGTTTGTGAGATTATTTCATCACACCAAACTCTCTTCTAGATCCCAAGATATGGACACATTTTAATATTAGCCTAAGAAAATATTAGCTTCACTAACTCAATCCAATAACTGGAGTCTAGTCTGCGTTGTAGGATATTTCCAAAGAATATATTTTGTCACTTTCAAGCACACCGAGCTTGAAACTAAAGCTCCTGCCTATATGGGGCTTTATTTTAAAAATTCTGGAATACTGTTTTTAAAGCTCTTTTTTGGATTATATGGAGGCTGGTAAAGATGCCCACAAGTTTCTTGCTGGCATCAATCTGTGCTGCCTATTTGCACCTTTAATTTTTAGAGAAAATCTCTTTTTCAAGATAGTACAAGCCCAAACAAGGAACAAAATATCCCCAATTCCATATCAGTAAGGTACATATTAATTCATTATTCATTCTTTCTCCACCCAGCATGATGTATAAATTCTTTGGAGAATGCTCATACAATCAAAATACAGTCTCTACTGTGGTGTAGATACAAGAATATGAAATAATGAAATATGAACACGTTTGCTTTGTTCTTTGTCTCTCCTACCAAGATGTCTATATAACTGGAATCAACTAAATAAACTGTTTCTCTATACTTGCTTTTTCTTTAGTTGTTCAGGTTGGTTTCCCATGTCTTGGAAAACAAGATGGAGTGGCAGCTTTTGAAGTGAATGTGATTGTAATGAATTCTGAAGGCAACACCATCCTACAGACACCTCAAAATGCGATCTTCTTTAAAACATGTCAACAAGGTAATCAGTGATCATCATCAAGAAAAGGCTCATAAAACTTGCAGGTGTGATGGGGAAAGAAAGAAAGAAAGAAAGAAAGAAAGAAAGAAAGAAAGAAAGAGGAAAGAAGGAAGGAAGGAAGGAAGGAAGGAAGGAAGGAAGGAAGGAAGGAGAGAGATGGGGAAGAAAGAAGGAAGGAGGAAAGGGAGGGGAAGAAGGGAAGGAAAGGAAGGAAGGAAGGAAGAAAGGAAGAAAGAAAGAAAAGAAAAGAAAAAGAAAGAAAGGGAAGGAAGGAAGAGGATAATTTTTTGGTATAATTATAACCACACTAATGGCAGGAGGCTGATAACCACGGGGTCCAGTATAGTACTAAGACAGACTTTCTCTGCTATGATCCCACTCACAATTTTGGGAACTCCAATACCCCTTCAAAAGCCCTCTTTTCTACTTCTCTCCTTCCCCTCTTCCAGCATAATCTTTGGGAGTCCCCAGTCTCATAGCAAGATCACAGTCATTACCAGCAACTACCCCTTGTCAAGGCAATACAACTCTTATCTGCCACAGCTGCCACAAGCTTGGTGCGGCTGACTTCTCCAGAGCACAGAGTGCCACCATCACACCAGCAAACTCTGCCAGGCATAGGCACCTCACCCTGATGCCCATTTAAGCATGAAGACCTAGATTTTTTCCCATCCTGATACAAGCTTTTCCAGCACAGAACTTAAGCTCGAGAGGCTTTCAGTACTCTAAAGATGTACCAAGGGATGTCTGGGTGGCTTAGTCGGTTAAGCATCCAACTCTTAATCTCAGCTCAGGTCTTGATCTCAGAGTCGACAGTTCAAGCCCCACGTTGGGCTCCATGCTGGGCGCGAAGCGTACTTTAAAAACATAAGTAAATAAAGATGTACCAAAAGGTCATTGTGCCCTCTGAAAGTGAATATCGTGGGCAATTCCATTCATTTTATTTCAGGGTGAATCTAAGAAGGTACAGTAGATTGATAGGTGGGGACGAAGGCAGAATAACGCTTGCTTTGCCTTCCTCCATGAGCCCCCCGCTATTGTAAGTGGGATTGAGAGAAACAAAATCTTATTTTGATGAGGATTTAGTGAAGGACAAGTGGTACAGAGAGAATGAGGTAGAAGTTATCAGTATTCAGTAGATTATGATAATCAGTGCACAGGGGGGAACATCAGCACTAGCCTCTTCATGCCCGCAGTTAATTCCCCCAACACAGTTTCAAGGGGGTATAACCTTGTTTCTCTTTGGTGAAGCCGAATGCCCAGGAGGGTGCCGAAATGGAGGCTTTTGTAATGAAAGACGCATCTGTGAGTGTCCTGATGGATTCTATGGCCCTCACTGCGAGAAAGGTACAGAATGGACAGAACTCAACTACCCCCACTTGCTTCCTAATGAAATGGGCGTCACACCAGAGCCCCACATGTGCTTTTTTAACACATTCAGAAAAATCGAAATTATTTTTCTGGTCGTAGCAGAAGGATTGGTAAAATCTTAAAAAGCCACAGAAGAGCAAATGGAAAGTATTTCTAGGAGTGGTTTTCTGTTAAGTCCAATATATGGTGATAGGGGCAGAGAACCTCAGCAGCGTGTCTACATTCTTTGTGGCCACTGCCCCGCCATCTTTAATTCGCTATTATATACTTTGGCATAATCCTAAGAAAGTTCTCCTCCACTTAAGTTGGGTTTAACAAGCTAATATAATGATTGATTTGACAGTGTCTACTGTAATAAAAAGTACCTTGATTCACAATTAAGTATATACCTGAGTTATGAAGTTGCTATAAGACCAAAAAAAAATTATTTGTATTGTAAATATATCTATCTCAGTAAAATTACTATTATATGAAAGAGTTAAGCAAGTTGTATTAACCACAGGATGCTTAAATACTAAGGGTTTCTTTGGTGAGAGTAAGCAAAGTCTTTTTCATCTTTGAGACATAAGAATTTTTCTTGTTTGCATATATTTTGGAATTAGAAGATCTAGGAAAGAGGGCAGGGGAAAATATTTAGTCTTAAGAAGGCTACTTCCTAGTCAAAGTAATGATTCTAGGCAAATTTTAATCAGGCGTTGAAATGGCACAATTCTAAAATTCTCATCTATTAACTGGTTAAAAAAAACTGATTTGCAACACATAAATAATGTTAAATATAGCAAGCCTGTGGGGTGCCTGGGTGGCTCAGTTGGTTGAGTGTCCACCTCTTGATTTTAGCTCAAGTCATGATCCCACATTGGGATGGAGTCCCACATTGGGCTTCATGCTGAGTGTAGAGTCTGCTTAAGATTCTCTCTCTCTCTCTCTCTCTCTCTCTCTCTCCCCGTCTTCCTCTGCGCCTCTCCCCTGCTTGTGCTCTCTCTCTCAAATTAATATATATATATATATATATATATATATATATATATATATATATGTCAAAGCTGTATCTCTACAGACTTTAGAATCAAAC